AGCACATCATCACTAACATCACGCAGGCTGATGAAGGTCTCTACTCATGTTCTACTGATGAGGGTGGAAAGTCTCCTCAGAGCTCTCTGAGGGTCAGAGGTCAGAACACAGACATCACTTCCTGTTTAAAAAATGATGTAACATTGTGACCTGATAATAAACTGACTGAACCATCTTCATCATCTCTCCTGCAGATCCTCCCAAAATCATCCATCCTCCTCCTCCTCACTGTCCTTCTCCAAGAACCTCCACAAACGTTGCTCCTCCTGTAGAAACTGGTCTTACGTGTCCTCCCTGTAGTTCTCCGTCTCCTCCTCCTCTTCCCTCTCTCGTGGTCCCCATTGTAGCAGGTCTGGTCTCTGGGCTTCTCCTGGTTCTGGTTCTGGGTTTGTTTCTGTTCCTCTGCTGGAAACTTAAAGGTATGAAAGCTCTCACTCACCTGATATGAACAGGTGTAATCTGATTACTGTGCTGACCTTCTGACCCTACATAAAAATGAACTGACTGGGTCACTTCTGTCCAGATCAGTGGGTTTTACTCATCCAAACATGCAGTCATGGTGGGTTTGAATGAATACTCCAGTGATGCTGCTCAGTGATTCTTCAATTTCCTCTGTGACCTTCCAAAATAAAATGTGTATTTGGGCCGCCCCTGACACATAAAGCTATACTATGTCTCAGTTTATTCTTTTAGTGAGGAAGATATCACTATGTAGTGTAAAAAGAATACATTGGTGACATTACATTTCATCACCTTTCACTTCTTTAGGATTTATCGTAGAGCAAGGCAGAAGAGCTCCAGCTGATTCCTAGAATAAGTATATTTTATTAAAAACGTTTCTTCAAAGAGTCCATCATATCCAACACAGAGTACTTGAGTCTGTAATAACATGTTAGTGTCAACAAGCTAAATGATTGTCTTGGAAAAGCAAAAACTCTAACTAGCTAATCTTCTCAGTAAGTAACACTTAGCATAAATGTTTAATTATGTTGTAAAGTAATAAGTTACTTTTGAAGATAATGTCTCCCAACATTGGCTAACACAACAAGGACCACAAAGTTAAGTCCTAAACACAGATTTCACACATACTGAGGGTCACCACAATCACGTTCATGTGTTTCCCCCTCCTCTCTTCTCAGGAAGTAAAAACCCGTCTCCTCCTCCTGTGGATGTGACCTATGCTGATGTCACGATCAAACAGAGAGCCAACAGGAGAGGTAGGCTGTCACTGTGTGTGCTGTCATCAAAATAAGACAAGCATGTTATGTAGCCACATACTGTACTCTTTAAATCTATGTTAAAAGGGCTGCTTGTACTACTGAAGGCTGAAAACTACTGCCTCTATGAATGTCTGTAAATTCCAGACAAATATCCTGCTGATCTACGAGCCGTCTACTCTGATGTGAGGACTCAAACTTCAGGTACACATGAACATGTCATGTTTCGGCTGTATGCAGGTGTGACCTCTGTGTAGTGTCTTCTCTGGTCTGCATTCACAACAAAAAGGCAATGGTTAGAATGCTCTCTTTCTAATGTCGTGGGCAATCAGCACAAAATCTCGCAGGAATCCTCTATTATTCTGAGGATTACCCAGAATCCCTTGCCCTTTGTGAATGTTGCAGGGTGACTTTTTAAAAGTAGGTGGCGCCAATGTCCCATTTAGCGGGATTTAACTTCGACTCTATTTAACTATGTTACACAGGCAGGAGAAGGACCCAAACGCAAAAATCACCACACAGGAATCAAACTCAAAAAGCTGCTTTATTGCAGAATGGCATGAAAATTATAACAAAACTAAACTTGGAAATGGATAACTAACACACAGGGAACAACCGCTATGAGGGCGACTACGACACTGACAAAGAGAAACACAGGGCTTAAATACACAGAGGGATAACGAGAGAATGAGACACAGAAGGAGAGCACAGCTGGGAGTAATCAGGCTGGACGAGACAAGGGAAGCAAAACTAGAAACACTGACATGAGACACGGACCTTCAAAGCAAAACAGGAAACACACTGACTGAATTCTAGACATGTAAACTTAAGAGCAACTGGGGAGACAGAACATAGGGACCAGAAACATGGTACAGAAAGGCACAGTAGACACAACATGGAACACAGGGAAGCCATATTACAAAACCTAAGAACTAAACCTATGATAACCATAACTGAAACCTAGGGAAATAATAACTATAAAGATCATAACAGCACAACCCACATGAACATAATGAACTCGCAGGGAAAGAGTAAAACTAAATACAGTGAACATAG